ACTTTTAGAATCATGTTAGCACAGAGCAAAATATGTCACTGTTTGATAATTAAAAAATGTGACAAGACTGGTGTCTAGTCGAACTGTGATAATGCATTTCTTGATGGGTGCATGCTTAATAAGAAGACCTGAGAGAGTGGAATTGTATGTTGCCTGAGTGTAAATTTGAAGCTGGTTGATTGTAGTCAGTGTCAATGGCAGAAACAAACATAAAAAACGATATATAACTTGGCGTCTACAGAGTGAATAGAGTAAATCATTTGTTTGTTTTTCATTCCCATGAGAAAAGGGCTGAATAGTATGAATATATATATAGAACTAATTATCTATAAAATGCACTCATGCAATACAACGATATAGAAAACGCGCTTCCCTTACCCTATAACATACTACCTCAAAAAGATAGTTTGAATACACGTGTAGTAGAATTATGTATTAAGAATTATGACATTCACAGAAAGATTGTTAAACTTATTTTATCATAAAACGATTCTATATAGTGCGCTTGAATACTGGAGTGAATATAGGAGTGATAACGTTAATGGGAGCACGGTAGACAGAGTGCTAGTCGACTTTACCCAGGGTACTATTAGACATTTAACAATCCATTTCTATTCTTTTTCTAATCGGATCTTGCTCCCTAAAGCTAAATGATAGCGGCAAGATCTGGTTATCCATCAGTTCCAATGATCGGTATGTGATCAATCAGATGTGACGTTAATTCAAGTCATCTATCAGAAAAGGGCGATTCATCTGGGTATTGCAGTGACGAGAATTTACCTTCTAACTGTAGACATCACTTTCTTATATTATTCTTTGTTTCAACTATTTTTGATAGGGTAATAACAATTGCTATGATTCACTGTATCTCTCGGCTGTTGCATAGCATACTTAGTTGGAACGATAATAACAAATCTCAAACCATCTCATCATCGTTTCATATACATCACGTATATGTGAACTATAGCCTGTTATGTTTGAGTCATCTGAGCGCGTCTCAATAAAATCTTCAAGATTTGTGGATATTATTTTTTTTCAAAGTTTAGTTAGCAATACTAACCTCGGAATAATGACGATTATATAATTGTAATATGAAAACAAAAGGACATTATTGTTTTTCCAGCGAATAAAATACAATGATATAAACTAACATGATTCAGTCAACAACCAAGACAGTGTCGTTTTTACTAGTCACTTAGTCGAAAAGTCAATAACTACTGAATAATAGAACCTCGCACTCATACTTTTTTCTGTCGGCGTCATTCCGACTTTACTTTAAGAAAAATCTAGTATGCAATTATTATTAGATCATTTCATATCGTTGTTTAATTATTTTTTTGTTTCAGGTGTGTTGTTTACAAGTTTCTTAGTATTTGATGTTGCGCACAAAAACGATCGCGGAATAACTGTATAATTTTTACATAAAAACGACCAATACGCAAGGATGTACAATGAGTGACCTGAATATAATAGTAATATATTTCCCATTAGAATATTTCCCCAGTGTCAGTGTCAATTTAATAATGAAATTCATATGTTGAAATCTATTTTACCTAGGAAAATGTAGTTTGTTATTGCAAACGTAGCTACGAGTGATGTACTATCGTATTTATGGGACACCATAAAGAAATCATACCTGTTCGAGTTTAGTTAATCTTATTTTGAAGGTAACGAATATGATATTCGTGTTATCTTATGGTTTCATTTCACCACATTAAAAAAACAATATGAATATCAATTTTGTCGACCAACCTTTTATCACAGGCCAATAAGACAAATATTTCCGTACATTCACGAATCATTTACCAATTTTGGGTGATAGAAACGCATCAGTGGGCGATAATTTCCAATCCAAATCACGACCACCGATAGTTGATATTAATATTAGTAATCATATTTTTGTCATGTGCTATTGTCGCATGAAATTTGGACACTGGTAATCATATCTGATTTGTGCTTATGCTGACGTCGACGATGACACTCACTCTATATTTTTTTGACGACCTTTTTGAGGAAATTAGGCTGCAAACAAATGTTTTCAAAGGATAACGTGGGAGAGTTTTATTAATGTAGGTTTTTGAATTGTATCGAGAAAAAACAAATTTTCATGTCAATATAAACTTTCGAAATCGTCTTTCTTTTTTTGGGTGTTTACTCACGTATCACACCATCAAAATAAATATTATGTTTATTATAGCGCTATAGTATAATATGCTTGGCCCCGCACTGGTTGTTTAACTCGTTGTACCTAGTTGTGTCATTTAAATATAAATTACCTAAATATGACCCGTATTACATCTCGTAACCTTGGTAGCGGTCAATAATTCACACGTGATCATTGTCCTGTAACCTTGATAGCGGCGAACAGTCGATTTTAATAACCTTCAATATGTGATACGGCAATGAGATGTGATAAAACGAATATTGACCACAACCTCTAAATATTTGATTATTATTTTGGATTTTCTGTTTATCGTCCATTTATTATTAATACACACAATCTAATTGATGAAATACATAGAAATACTATCATTGTTCAACTTGTTTTTCGCTATATTGATAAAAGTAAAGTTTAAAGGAACACACATAGAGGATGAATTATGATTTCAGTGATATAGGTTTCCCTTATCGCAAATATGAATGCATCTTAGTATCAACCATTCCCATTCCGACAACAAAACATTTGTTCATAACATTTTCCACTCAAATTAAGCTATTTACGCTATCCAATTTTTTTTTTGGCTAATCTCCTGACACTCTTCGGAAGTTTCTTATCTCGTGTTTTCCTCGAGTGCCAACAATAATTGATCAGAAGCGGCTTTTGTATATTTAAAAAAACACACACAATCACACACACACCAATGGCTCATGACCGTACGTTATTTGAATAATAACACATGTTTGTGAGGCGATATCACGATTTGCTGCCTGTCGAAGGGATGGTGGTCATGACCATAATATAGATGATGTCAGAGCCGAGGCATCATCAATAACATGGTACATATTTGCTTCATATAAAGAATATCCTAAGAATTGAAATGGAATATCTTACTTATTATGAAAACTACCCCGAAAGCAACAGCGGCCGGGACAGTAGCAGTGCAGCGACGACAGTTTGTTACGCACAGTAATTTCAGAGACGTCATCCATGTGATATAGCAATCCAGCATTCGATGTTATTTGACCGATCACAACATGCGTAACAACAGTGAGATTTGAACAGTGATAAGAGTTGATTTATTAAAGGATATGTGGGTCAGGTTTGAATTTGAAATTAAAATGTGCACATAGATAAAAAGGTCAGAAGAAAAAAGTTTGGCATTCATCATCTTGTTCACAAACATTGAAAATAAGAAACTGATTCGAAATTAATATAAGTATCATTTACTAATGGTTATCTTTAGTATATTTTGTCAATATAGTAGAAGTCTTAGTAATAAGTTACCATCTTTCTGCTTCGATATACCTCTCTTTGCCGCATGTTGTGTTAATATTACAGATACTTTTCAAATGTGCTTTAATATATAGGAAATGTCATACTAGTTATTTACCCAGGTTGTTTTATGCTTGTGACAAAGATACGGACGTTCTGGCGAGACTATATGTATAGGTTTTGTATGGTTTAATAGTATCGAACTGTAAAAATTGTATTCACGGACTCACTGCAAGTTGCAATCGCACGCATATTGATTGTATTTTATTTACACTGAATCTTGTTCGTCTTCATGTTAAAGTTTTCAAAATGTACATGTCTGTACCGTAAAAGCTTGTAATAAATATACATCACTAATCCAACGTGAACATTTCAAAGGAAACGGGATAAAACTACTCGAGCTAATTATGCTCACCACGACATTTGTATCACTATGACAACTGATAACAATGCGAGTTGATATGATGACTATTAGACGTTACTACAGTTGCAGGAAATGTCAACGCTTACAACTAAAAGTAAATATGTAACTATTTAAATAATATTTTGTATACAAAAATATGAAGTGCTTGGTATGAATATTAGGTTTGTTCAAAATTTGGTCGATTATTCAACGCGATTGTCTACATAGTTATGACGTTTAGTACAATGCAGGAAAGGAAGCATTCCTAAAACGACGTTCAAAGGCACTCCGTCTGTATACTTCGCGATCTATGTTGAACTGCTGTCAATAATACGGAAGAACATGCGTATCCGATGGATGCAATAAATTACGCGTCAATTAAAAAAATTCTATTACAATGCAGGGAAGAGGAAAGACGCGTGGGAAATGTGAATATCTTCTTGCCACTAAGAATGTAAAACCAATTGTATTGGTGAATTCTTTTGTATATGAATAAGGAAGAAGCTTTTATCTCACAGAAATGACATTAGTGTTGACTATTTCAGTATTTAACACATTATATAGTTGCCTTCAGCATAAATGGACAAGCGCGAATTCATTACAGGGAATGCCATTGAAAATATTCCCAATTATGACGCATTTAAGCAACCAGTAAATGTAAGAGAAAGGCGCACAAAGGCTAGTTGAGAACAGATTTTAACGATGTACCGCGTTATTGTTATTACCCCTCACAACGCATGTCCTCTTATTTGCATATTCAGTTATGATGTCCTTGAATACAATATTGACAATAATTTCAAAACATCATGGCAAGTTAGAGTCGCCATATTCCAGCTCATATTAGAAACTCAACTTATTCTAAAATCTGAACCGAGTCACGCAAGGGGAGGCTGAGTGGCACATCGATGACGTTGTCTAAAACTCCCTATGTTGTTGTATGTTGTTCCATAGCGACCTGTCTGAAGAGAGGCACTAGTGGCCACGCTAGTGATCAAGCAGTGGGATGCGTATTTGCTTTCCTGCCAGGATACCCTTATCGCAGTCCCCGTTAGGTGTATCATCACAAAGACAGTCGGTCAATAGGTCGTAGTGACAGCTATATCTCTATTTCTCCCACGTATTTACGTATTAAGTAGAACTACATATCGTATTGCATGGAACGCTATGGGGGTAAGACACTTTTATCTTCATACATTTTAGTGTATATGACTAAGTTATGACGAGTTTCTCTGTGCAGTAATATGTGTGGTGCCTTTAAAACCTATCATTCAACGTATGTATAAAAATCGTTAAAACCCAATGTCAGCCGATATGTGATAAAGAACATTTACCACAATGGCGAGGTTTATATATGATATATATGATGTCCATATTTTAACATGTTGACTATGAACTTCTGTCACGTTTCACGCAATACACTACAAGACATGCAAGCAATAAGAAATCTTATACATTTTGTCCAATATTGTGGCGGTAATAATTGTGGAGTTCAATACGTTAGCAAGACGAGGCTGTCATAAAGATTACATATTCCGTATCATCACGCAAGGACAAAATATTGTAATGACATGTTATATAAATTTGGTAACATATGCCTTATAATGTATTTAACATACTACATTATCAGTAGTCGCAGTCGCATATTATATATGGCAGTTAAAGTCGCAACACCAATTTGGAAATTTAACTTAATCAAATAGGTCAGCTAAAATTCTCATTGTGTGGCCAATTTCTCGTAATTCGTTGAAAATTTCAACATTTGATTTGTATATATTGGTCAAGATGCACAAATTGCTCATAATGTGAATGTAACTTTGATCTAGCGTTCCAAATTTGTTCCCACGTTTTCGATTTATACGCTCTCTTTGATCTAGAAATAACGCTTTGATCTATTGTGTGTTCAATCATCGCCAGAGTTTCCGATTAAACCATCCAATTATGTAAGCTAAAATACGGTGTTCGATATTGTCAATATACTTTGTCTCTGTCATCACGTGTAGCATTTGAGTGAAAGAACTCTATACTTTCCTATGCTGGTACAGCATTGAGATAAGGCGTGTGTGTCATTCGAGCGTGCCCATAGGTGTTAATATCCATTTTGCTGACCTTCAAACCATCAACAGAATTGTTACCATGGCAACCAAATCACAGTATAGATGCCTGTTATTGTTTAAATTAATTAAAAGTTCGCGTTAAATGAAACCAGCTACGTTGTTAGCCCAGTGGCTGAGGCAGTTAACAGTTTTGATGCGAATGTCGCGTAATAAATTTGTGACTTCCAATGTTTTTGGTTACTTATATTATATTATATTATAATATATTTATATTATAAATAACCAAGATGGCTCAGTTCTTTGTTCTAGTTATATGGTGACCAGATTTAATTTCATTTGAGAATTCCCAATTATTCTCTGGGGATTGCGACATAATATTCTATAAATACGAGACGCAGTGGTGGGAACAACAAAACTAATGATTCAACACATTTTAGTATAGAATATATGTTACATATTACAACAATTGAACAGATGAAATGAATATGAGAAATAATTGGTAGAACATGAACAAATAACTCGACACATCTTCTAATATTTTACGACTATTCTTACAAAAAAATAAAATAACTATAAAAAAACTAAAATATATAATTACATAATATCCAAAACATAAAAACTTGGAACTGAGAACAGATACTGTATTTAGTATTGAACAATGGCAATATGTACAATTGTTTTTAATTTAAGGACAGAATTAGCGTTATGTAATTAACAGACAATAGAATTAATATTAACTACATTCCCAATTGTTGTCAGGCTGACCATTGTGTATTTTCCATTAGAGCTAAATAAGGCATTTATAAAGATATGACTATTCCCCTTGTTACTTGTTCAACTAATATTCCATGTTACCTCACAAAGAAGCGTTTTATATATTTATGCTGAGAACTGCTGTGTGGGTATCACCTCTTATCATAACATCACCCGATAATAGTATAATATTATCGCACAATAGTCTATGTAATGGTATTGTTTTCATATTAATATTAATAATATTAATCGTTCATGAAATTTACAAAACGTTATGTCACAGCTAAATACTATTGTTCCCGAACAAACAATATCAATTGTCTTTGAAGATTGATTGCATCAACTAGGTGTCATCGACGAATGTCAGAGACTGCAAACTAACTCTTGATGTATTTGTATTCTTCTTAGGTGATGCTCGTCTGGTTATGTGGAGTTCTCGTAGCATATTGGATATCTCCTGTCACTCCTGGTGAGTAGCAATCCCAGTATATATTTAGATACAGAATGGTTTTGATGCTTTAAGGCAAATTTTGTAGAAAATAAAATTGTATTACGTGTTTCAATTAACATAATCATGTAATTAACCTAATAATGACTAATGATTTCAATAGTATCGTGTGAGTGGCACGTTTCTTCTTCTTCCACGTATGCGTTTCTATGGTAGCTCATTTGATCAGGCTTTGTGGCGGTACACACCTGCAGCGTTTCGTGTCATTATCGATATGAGTACGCCTCGCGTCGGAGTCATTTGATTTATAGTTTTTTCTATAATTGAGTCTATTCATTGGTGTTTATCTTGTCACTGCTGTTAGCATGTGGCGCTGACGCAGTTCTCCACGCTGTGTTGTTGCACATGCATTTCGTCAAGGGGTATTTTACTCGCCGACGACTAAATGCATGTTGATCGGTCTATCACCCTTCATATGAATTAATACACGACAGTGTTTACAAACTGTGTATTTTTTCAGACTGTGTAATAGTATATTTATTACGATGATACAACATAGAACGCACTCGGACAGTACACGATCGAGTCGATCTCCACTTCGAGACGATGCTTGTCTTTGTACATACATAGTGGCATTCTCATAATAACCTCATATTTTACACATTACTATTAACGTCAACGTCACGAATTAGTTGCAATAAACCTACGTTTAGAGATTGTAGTTTAAATTCTGTACACACAGTGTCTCATTTACGATTACAATAATAATTATGTAGTCGATTCGATATGCAAAATAGAACCCTATATGGCCCTATATGATGGGCAAACACTATATGATTGACAAACCCTATATGATGGGCAAACTTACGTCACGTGACTGTCTCACAAGCGACGAGATCACGATAGCTCATGAGTTCAAGTGACATTCATTTACGATATCTGTCACTTGTGTGCTCTATACCATGATGTACATAGATACAGCTGTCAAAGTGCAGTTCAGTTTAAGCATTTTACCAAAATGTATTTATGGTAAACAGAATTCCATCTGTATAACACGGATATTGAAGGCATACCTGAAAGAGAGTCAAACTGGTTTGGAATGTGCAATTCTATGACATTCCATTTCACAATACAAACCACAGTCGTTAAAATATATCGAAATGGACAGCATGACATTAATAAATTGCAATGCTCGTCCAAGTCACTGCAAATATAAATTAGGCCTTTATATTCCAAGAAAAGGGTTCTATCTCATTGACGTCGCCTTATAAATCATCTATTGTATATCCTTTCACAGATTGGTGACGTCCTTCAGTGCATGCTTATTTAAATGACCGAATATGTTACCACGGCAACGTGCACACGGCACTCAATCACACACTGTAAGTCAAGCGCGGAGTGTTAATTGCAGCGCCATTAACTTTACATTTGCACACCTTGACTTATTAGCGGGTGTATTCATTTAGGAGTTAACATGGCGTCAATTATTTGGTGTGGGGATAGTTCTGACCTTCACGCGGTTTTGATAACTGCTATAGTGTCAAATTAATAAAAGAGACAGCAGCTCGTTAGTGACATTGTGTGAGAACTTTCAATTTTGTCCTGCTTCTCGCTGCTTTCCGCCATCTGCCATATTTCAACAATGGAAGTTCATATATATATGGCAAATTCATATATATAGTAAAATTAATATCACACTCGCTGAGTGTTCTGGGATTTGTAATGCTGCACCGACCATGCGGCCTTTTAAAATTACCGGTATAAATGTATTTGCTTCATACGTTTTTTTTATTACACATTACCATTTCAGGCTTGTTAGTTCTGACTCTGCGAGGGAGGGAAATAATGTTCCCTCCGTAGTTTGATCCGAAACCGAAGTTTTGTGCAGTAATAGAAATAACGAACATTCAATAAGAATGTGTTCTTTCTAAAATTAGCAAGTTGAAATAAATACATTTTTATTTGAGGTCTATGTACTACGTCGTGACAGTGCTTCAGAAAAATATTATGTTCAGTACTTTACTTGGCGGTTTCAATCACATACGATATCTAACCTTTGCATCATTAGTCACAACACACCAATGTCTCGTCAGTGTTCTATTTTTTTTTCTCATTTACAAATACATAACTATGTAAATAACGAAAAAAAAACATTCTATATACATTAATCAATATATGTTAATACACAATGAATATAGAAGATACTGTAATAGTCATTGTATTAATGAAACCTCAGAACGATAATCTCTCCGTCAGTTTTACTCCACATCGTATCTGACAGTATTTGAATTATAACCTGACTTGATACTAGTATACAAAAACTCATATTTTTCTTGTTTCTTGACGTCTGATAATAGTATTACATTTTTCTTAATCCGGGATGAAACCTCAATATAAGCATCTGGGATTTATATGTATAGGATATTGAATAGCGTCGTTTCAAAGGCGTTGCTATGCGTACAGTGATGACGCGAGAATGTAAATAAATAAGGGTGTTATACAATAGCAGACACAGCATAACAAGAAGTAACGACAGTCTGGTTACCAAACCAACAAATAATATACACACAGCTTACACACATACTTTAATACGTGGACGAATATGTGATAATTATTATTGCATCTCAAAGTATACATTCACTAAATGATGTCTTCTGCAGCAGTCTATATGCTAGAACCGTAGAACATAACAAGAGATATCGTGGTCATTTGAGATTATTATTATTACAGAATTAACTATAAGATAACTACGTGATAGAGTCTGAATTCTGCTTTGACAACTCAGTGAAGGCACTGTGGCTAGCAAGCGACCAAGCTAGGTAACTTGTATCCCGTAGGCTGGGGACATAGGCAACTAATATAAGATACATTTTACGTTATTGAATTACGTTAAGAATTTAGCCTATATCTAACTCTTACACATTTCTGAACGAATTATACATCGTACAAAGGGAATGCCTCTGCCAGCAACAGATTGTTAAGCAATGTGAATTGTGAATGTGTCTCGCTCATATGGTGCACCTCTAAACGATCGGTCATGCCATAGATTGAATCTGAACAATTTTGAACATTGCGATTTTAGGAATCTGCTTTTTTTATTTTTTGTAAGTAAAATTTGTTAAGGCTAGAGCAATCTAATTACAATTAAACTACACTAAATTGAACCGAGGCGGTACCTGGATATCACTGTTTATATAAACGTTTGCTACACTTCGTACCGATTCCAGATTCTCCCAATTAATCAAACATTCGACATTATCTATGTATACAATTTAATCATGCGAGCTTTTTGTTTTGGTTCGCACAGATTATTAAATGCGCATGTCATGAATGCTTAATTATTATTTCAACACAGACACCATTTATGTAACCTGTGTTAAAATAACACACACAATCACTAGATTATTAGTTAAATAACACGTGACACAGTCCCTAATTATTTGAATAATTTATTAACTACAATTTTTGAATTAGTGTCACAAATTTGAATAGTAATTCTGTATACTTCAGGTGTTCAGATTGTATATGTGATTCATCAATTACGAATGAAACAAGCACACATGTTTTATATTGTCAATTTTAGTAATAAGTATATTGTTTACAAATGCTACAATACTGTGATACGAGAGAAAACAAAATATCTCATTTGCTGTTACCATTGAATCAATACAACTTGAGACTCTGTATGTAATCAATTTCATTCTCATAAAAAAAAGGTATTACCGTAGTTCTGAAAATCATTTTAATGAGAAAACGAATGTATTTGTATTGCCAGGAATCAATTTCTTGAAAATGACATTTTAATCGCTTCATCATGATATATCTCATCCAATTCCTTTTGCAATTTGTTATTAATATTTCAAAAGAATTATCCATATATAGTCTGCATAGCTAAATATAACACCAATATATTTTAATCTGGAAACCTTTCGTGAAGGTAGGCTTGTTCTTGAATAAATTATCATGTTTGAATCACGCAGTTACCAAACATTTCAATTGGAACCTATTTTGCTGTTGAGCTAACGGTTATGTATTAGAGAATATGAGGTTATTACGAGGATACATCATGGAATGCCGAAATCCAAAAACTTTAGAACAGAAACAGCGAACTTCTTTGTGTGGAGTTCGGTCAAATCCTGGTGGCAGCCATGTTTGTTTTACTAGAGGACGCTTACGCGCGTAATCATTCCATATTTGGAATTCGCATTTCCTTATAATTGTAGGATGACTATACCCCGTCAAATATCACAAAAATACGGCACGCTGTAACTTATGGCGTTACGGTGACAGATGTATATTAATAGCATTTATAACAGTATGCATGAACGTATATATATATATATATATATATATATATATATATATATACGGGATGTGTTTAGCTGCCCGACTTGTTCAGAAGTGAATACATTCATCATTATTCCAGTGAAAATGTCATCAAATTATTTTGTTAATGTGTATGTCAGAATATGATTTTTTATTTGGTGAAATCCGACAATTTGGAGTGTAAATGCATTTAAACTATACTCAAAACTATCTCGCGAATTTTGAATTGAGTCACTAATTCATTTCCCGTTTTTGTAACTTCCAACGTAGTTCACGTAAATGTTTCTTTGAGGATGAATACAATTCAGGTTAGATTAAGGTAAATTAAATTATTATTATATTTGAAAATGTGTTTAGGCTATATCTAATGGTTCAAAATTGGGTTGTATTTGTGACACGACTGACGTATCCTCTACGTGAATAATTTGACAGAGCCCATTTCTAATGTTATTCTAAACCGTAAGGCGGTTGATTCCTTGAGGTGGTGTTAATGCAAATGATCTTCGCAAAAATTATTGATTACTAGTGAATATCTTGCTATAAGTAACCGACATTTATTCGACGTAACCACTGTCGCCTATGAGAGTATTGATTGTCGATTACTGATCGGCAACAACCTATATCATAACACACAACATTCGACTAAGTGATGTTAATTTTTACAAGGGTTATGTAATTTTATCGTCAACATTCAT